GTCAGCCAATTGGTTACCTGTTAGAATATATTTCAAAATTACATCTTTTTGTTCTATTTTTTCTCTAGAAAAATGGTATTTAACATCAATGTGTTTTGACCTTTTATGATCAGTAGGATTGTTGGCTAATGAAATGCAACCATTATTATCTTCAAAAATAATTATTGGTTTTAAAATTTGCAGTTTTGCACTTAATAAAAGTGTTTTTAGCCAACAAGCCTCTTTTATGCCCTCATAAAGAGCCATGTACTCAGCTTCCGTCGATGACGTAGCTACTGAGTTTTGTCTTTTACTATTCCAGCAAATAGTATTTTGGTCAAACAATTTGAATATATAACCTGTTGTACTTTTTCGGTCATTTTCATTGCTTGCCCAATCAGAGTCAACATAACCAATCAATACTTCTTTGTAATCGCTTTTCTTGTAAGTTAATTTGAGATTTAATGTCCCCTTAACATATCTAAGAACCCTTTTTAAACATTGCCAAAGCTCTTTATTATTTTTATTCTGATACCGACTAAGTAAATTGATAGCTACGCATTAATCGGGACGTGTACACAACATTGCGTACATTAAACAACCGATAACATTTCTACATGGTGCCTCATAATAATCGTCTGAATTTAAATCTTTGTAATTTAATTTTGGTGGTAACGGAGTACTAATAGCATTACAATCTTTCATGTTAAATTTTTGCAAAACATTTTGCAAATATGCACTTTGATCTAAACTAATTGTATTTTCTTTCCGTTCAATTTTAATACCCAAGAAAAATTTAACTTCATTCAGGTCAACCATGGAAAAATGCTTCATTAAATATTGTTTAAAATTAATTATGGTCTTCTTGTCAAAAGTGCTAATTATGAGATCGTCAACATATAAGACTACATAAATATCTTTAGTAATGTGTCCTTTGTTAAGAATATACAAACAACGATCTACTGAGGAATTTTTAAAACCGTGTTCTTTTAAAACTTGGTCAAAGCGTTCAAACCAGCATCTCGCTGATTGTTTTAAGCCGTAAATTGCTTTATTTAATTTACATACGTTATTGTTATTATTTTTAACCCCTTCCGGAACACGCATATAAATTTTCTCTTTTAATGAACCATTAAGAAAAGCTGTTTTTACATCCATTTGGTGGATTAACAAATTGTATTGATTAGCGATAGCAATTAATACTCTGAAAGTTGTTATTCGTGCAACTGGTGCAAAAGTTTCATCGTAATCTAATAAATATTGTTGACTGAAACCTTTTGCAACTACCCTCGCTTTATATTTTGATGGGTTTCCATGACCATCATGTTTTAAAACAAATGTCCATCTACAATCAACTATATTTTTGTCGCTTGGACAGGGTACTAGGGTCCAAGTATTATTATGTAAAAGAGAATCAATTTCTTCCCTTATTGCCATCTCCCACTTAAGTCTGTCATCACGGTCTTTTATTTCATTATAGGAATCTGGAATGTCACAAACAACTGACTGAGCGCACGTGTAAATTCTTTCGGTAACATTATCGTTTTCTTGGTATGAAATAGGAGGCAAGTCCCTAATTCGTGCGCTTCGTCGCGGTTTGTTTGGTTTAGAGTCATTTTGAGAGTTTACATTAGAGTCTTGAGACTCATTAACTTTATCTGTTTCTATAACAGATTTGTTAATTTCACTCTCTTGTTTATTACTGATTTCAAATACATTATCAGTTTTCGATCTTTTTGCGTCGAGATTTTCTGACTCAATCTCTTTATTATATAAGGGTGGTCGTGAAGTTTTATAATTAATGTCATCGAAAATTACATCACGAGCAGTGATAAATTTATTTGTTTCCACATTTAGAACTTTATAGCCGCTTTGTTCATAACCCACGAGAATTCCTTTGAATGATTTTTTATCAAACTTGGTTTTCATCGTTTTATTATGAACATAGACAGTACAACCAAACACTTTTAAATGTTTTAATTTTGGCAATTTATTGTGCCAAAGTTCATATGGTGTTTTGTTGTCTATTATGGCTTTTGTAGGGGTTAAGTTAAGAAGATACGTTGCAGTTAGTATTGCTTCTCCCCAGAGTTCTTTACCTAAATTTGCTCCGTGTATCATTGCACGGGCTTTTTCAGTCAATGACCTATTGACTGCGCTCCGTAACAGAATTCTGTTGTAAAGTATGTGGTACAGTTAAATGATATTGTATTCCCTTATTAACGCAAAATGATTTGAACTCGTTAGATAAATATTCCCTTCCATTATCGCAATATATATGAGCGATTTTGAGATTAAAATGTGCTTCACATTTAGCTACAAAATCTTGAAATGCATTAAAAACTTCCGATTTATAAGAGAGTAAATAAACGACCGTGTAATGAGTAAATTCATCGAGAAATGTCAAGAAATAATTTTTGTCATTTATAGTTTGGGGAGTAATAGGACCGCAAACATCTGTGTGAATCACAAATAATGGTCTTTTGACATGAGTCCTATCTCTACTTTTTGAAAAAGGGAGACGTGCTTGTTTTCCGTACAACACAAGCTTCGCATATTTCTTCTGTGGGATTTATAGAATTTAATTGATGGCAATCGGAAAGTAAATTATTCTTTTTAATCTCTAAAAATTTGGACTTATTTATATGGCCTAAACGTGCATGCCATAATTTGTATGTGTTTAATTGTGTATTTTTATCAATATTTACTTGATTGCACATATGTTTATTTATAATAAAATCGACACATATTAAATGATTTTTGGACTCACCCTTTAGAATCGTCTTACCATCTCTTTCAATAGTTACTTTTCCGTTTTCACAAAAAGTAACACGCATTCCAGCTTCCTGGATTTTACGTACAGAGAGTAAATTGTTCGGAACTTCAGGTGCATACAAGACGTCCTTGAGTTGTCCTTTAAATCCCAGAGATGTTAAAATATCAATTGCCCCTCGTTTTGAAGCTGTGATTGATGCCTCCTTTTTGGCGATTGAGATTTTTAACGGTTCAGCCAAGTCCATGATGTTAGAAAACACGTCCAATTGGTTTACAATGTGATCAGTAGCACCTGAATCTAACAAAAATGTCATTTTGTTTGAGTCACTTGTAGCTGCATTCAAAATGTTTTCGGTATCACTCATAAACGCGAAACTTCTATCACTATCATTTATGTGCATAGTTTGTATTGTTCGCGGACGTTCTTCTTCTTGTTGTTGATAATTCTTCTTGTAATAAAAACAATCCTTTTTCTCATGGTTTCTTCTCCCACAATGGTCGCATTTTTTGTTATTTTTATTATAACTGTTTTGTTTTCCGTTTAAATGTTTTTGATTGTGTCCCCGATGATAATTTGGTTTGCCCTTGAAATTTGATTTGGAGTTTTTCCATTTTCTTTGGTTTCCAGTCGATGGTTTACGGTTTTTATCTTCCTGTTGAGTTACTGCTTGTAGGACCTTTCCACTTGTTTCACCACTTTCATTTTTTAATTTTATTTCATAGTCAAGGAGTCGAGTTTTCACAAATGCCAGAGATAAATTTTCATCTGAGAGAGTTTGAATTGCGGTAACAACAGAATCGTATGAGTTTGGTAGTGTGAGTAACAATCTCGCGATTTTGCTTGTCTCATTTAAAATTGCTCCTGCTGCTAACAATTCAACGATCATTTCATCGAATTCAACGAAATGTTTTGCTAATGATGAGTCCCCTTTGTGTTTGAAACTTAAAAGTTTCTTTTCGACTGCCAATTGAGTGGCCAAACTTTTTCTTTCGTAGATCTCGTCAAGTTTCTTAAAAATTTGACGAGCGGTATCTTGTTCCGTAGCGAAACCAATCATTGAGTCGCTAAGGTGTTGAATAATCGAACCTTTAGCGATACGCTCTCGTTTTTGCCATTCATCAGACGTTTCAATAGGTTTGTGTCATCGAGGACCTGCGAGGCATCCTCTTCAGCTATCAAAGCCCGCACACGAAATTTCCATATACTGTATTTTTCACCATTGAAAAGTTTAATATTTCGTTTAGTTTTTATCGTTTCTGCACTCATTGTTCTTTGAGTAACTTTACACTAAAATGCACTAACACTATGATTGTCTTAAAAAATAAAATTGTCACTTAAAACACTAAAATACCCAAAAGCACTTATCGTCACTAATTATGTGCCTGGGCCCATAACCTATTAGATTTTAATTAAAAAGGAAGCAGTTCGGTTTAAATAAAGAGAATCAAATATAGTGTTAAGTCAAAATGTATTTTAGAAATACGTCTTTACAAAACGAGAGCCGGTAAGGGACTGAAAAAGATAGTGTCAAATTCACTATGGTCCACACGACTACATGAGCTGGGTTATATCGATATCATATAAACAAAGTTAAGAAGGTGCACGTGGCACATATATGAACATCTACATTACTATATATATAGTTAAATAATATTGAAATTATTTTGTATATTTCAATAGTCAATACTGGCGAAGTACTTGGGGAAGATTGGCATGTCAGTATTTGGCTCAGTACAGAATTTTTTTGTTACCAGCTGTCAATATATTGGCATATGACAGAAATTTTTGTTTATTTGATAATAAAAGTGAAATGTATGTAGAAGAGTAGGAAGACAGAGTAAGTAAAGGAACACAAAAGAAGAAAAGAGTTAAAACCAAGAAGCAGAATCTTTCAATTTTAGGAAAGCGTAAAAAGAGGGTACAAGAGGAATTTAGTGGAGAAGAAAGACGAATATAGTATAGGTAATAGGATTTCTAGAAAGAGTAAGAATACAAATCGAGTAGGAGTAGAAAAAAAAATATTGATAGAAAGAGAAGAGTTAAATCCAACCCTCCCAGTAGATAAAAAGAATGAAATGAACTGAAAAAGATTGAAGAGAGAATAAATAAGGGTAAAAATTGTTATTGTTTAATGCACAAAAAAGTTTTTACAAAAAGACACTAAAAAATTCAGAAAATAAAGAATTTCGAAATTAATAGTTCAAAAAATAATTATAATAAACTACTTGAATTTTTAAAGGTGGAAGAAATGAGGCAACGGCTAGAGGAAAAGAATCGTCTAATCGAGAAGAAAACACAGCAAGCGATGCAAGCTCAACAGGAGAGAAATCGTTTCAACACTGAATTGACGGAACTCAAGGATCATATGGATATTAAGGATCGTAAAATTAACGTTCTTCAACGTAAGGTGAGTTCATTTTAAATTTACAATACACTTCTCTCCATCCATGAACGCTAATGAAAAATAAAGGATTAATAATTTAATCCTCATCTTCTTCTGATTTTTCTCTTTCTCTTTTCAGTATTTATTTTTACCTTTCATTATTTTGATTCTTTTCTTCTTTTATAATTGAATGTTGTATTTTGGTTTGTTATTCGAATTTCTCAATTTCTTTTTTTCATTCGCTTTTATATTCCACCTAATCAAAAATGTACAATGGGCATTGAGATTTTTTATGCTTCTTTTATCACCACCATTATTTCCCTTTCCCATTGATATACATATGGAAACAATAATATTGACGATAACAAAAACTGGAAAATTATTATATTTTAGTCCAGAGTTATTTGCTGTGTATTAATTTTTTTGTGTGACAATCTTGTTTTTTATTTTAAACGCTTAATTTAGAAGAAAAAAAAAGTAAATAGAAGAATTTAAAAATTATATTGAAAAAAAATTGATTCTAAAAACACTTGAAGGAAGTAATTATACTTATACATAGATTTTGTTTTCATTGAAGACAATTATATTTTTAGTAGGTATTATTTTTAGTAGGTAATATTTTTAGTTTGTAAAATATTTAGTTTATAAAATAATGTTTATTTACGTAATTAATTTTGTTGTAATAATGATCAATTTTAAAAGTTGATAAGAGAACATTTATGAAAAATTATGTTATCTCAGTTTATTTATTTTGTAACCGAATAATAAAACTTTATTTTTAGAATTAATTTTCAAAAAAATAAAATATTATTTACACGAGAGTGTAATCTAATAAATGAGATTTCTTTATGCATACGAAACCTTTTAAATACACTAGAACTTAAGGCTATGTCCAAGTTGTGAAATGTAAACAAACCAAAAGGTTACTATAGCAGCACTAAAATCGCAATTTTTCGACAGCCAATTCTCCCACAAAAAATAACAATTTTACACTTTCTCTACAAAAATGGAAAATTAAAGTTTCAAAATGTCCAAAAATATCATGTTTGGCTATGAGCAATAAAAAGCAATTAGTAAAATAACTAATTATAATGACCTGTAAAATGGCATTTTTGACGCGTCGCGAAAAATAAACTGTTTGAGTATATCAACCGCACTGACGATGAAGAAGTTCCATGTCAGCGATTGGACCTTCAACATGTGGAAAGGGAAATTTTTCCCTTTCCTCCTTAAAATTACAAGAGAAAGGGTAAAAACTTCTTCATCGTCCGTGCGGTTGATATAGTCAAACACTTTAATTTTTCGCGACGTGAACTCTGTTGCTCGCTGCGCGTGCGCAGACCGTACCAAGGTCGCAATGACATTACCATGCAAAAAGGCACATTTTTTTTTTGACTGAATCTCAGTGGTTTTCTCATTTTTTCAGTTATTCAAAGTTTAGTAACCAAATTCGTTACTTTAGTTCACCATTTCAATAAAAAAAATATGAATTTATATTTATTTACGGAAATGGGAACGGCGAAAAAATGCTTCACTATTCGGTCTATAATGAAGCATTTTTTCGCTGTTCCCATTTGCGTAAATAAATATAAATTCACATTTTCTTTATGGAAATGGCGAACTAAAGTATCGAATTTGGTAACTACACCTTGCATAGCTGAAAAAAATGAGAAAATAACTAAGTTTCAGTAGAAAACAAAATGTGCCTTTTTTCATGGTGATGTCATTGCGACCTTGGTACGGTCTGCGCACGCGCAGCGAGCAACAGAGTTCACGTCGCGAAAAATTAAAGTGTTTGACTATATCAACCGCACGGACGATGAAGAAGATTTTACCCTTTCTCTTGTAATTTCAAGGAGGAAAGGGAAAAATTTACCCTTCCACATGTTGAAGGTCCAATCGCTGACATGGAACTTCTTCATCGTCAGTGCGGTTGATATACTCAAACAGTTTATTTTTCGCGACGCGTCAAAAATGCTCTTTTACAGGTCATTTTAATTAGTTATTTTACTAATTGCTTTTTATTGCTCATAGTCAAAAATGATTTTTTTGGAAACTTTGATACTCTAATTTTCCATTTTCGTAAAGAAAGTGTAAAAATGTTATTTTTTGTGGGAGAATTAGCTGTCGCAAAATTGTGATTTTAGTGCTGGTATAGTAACCTTTTGGTTTGTTTACATTTCACAACTTGGACATAGCCTTAATGAGCATTTGGAGTAGATTACAAAGTAAATTTGACAACCACTCTTATGTTTATGCAATGTTTACTTCGTATAATCTTAAGTTTATAATGAGTTTATAATTATAATTTGCAAGTACAACAACGTTATGATTTAGTAGATTTAATTTGTAATTCGTAGTGTGTATAATTTTCTAATTATATTATGTAAATAGAAATTGTTATATATTTATTTATTTATATATAATTTTCTATTTAATATAAAAATTGAAGACAGTCACATCAAAGTTAGTCTTAATCTTAGTAAATAACTAAAACCGAAAAGAAATTAAAAATTCGTTTAAAAAGTGTTTCATGAAAAAGGTAAACATAATTTTGGCCACTTTAAATAGCATTCAACTTTACTATTAAATACAAATTAACATTTTTTGAGATTACAGAAAGATTAAATTCGCAAATTATGTTAATGGATTGTTTCCTGATATCATAATATTTTTTCTTCAAATTTTTATCCTCCCAAATAGAACGTAATCTTGCCAAGCTTGCAGCGTAAGATTGACGCAAGCTTGTCGCAGGCAGAAAAATGTTCATGCATTTTTCAACTTCAGTGAAAGGTTGTTGTTTTATTCTTATTTCATTTTGGAACTTAATATTCATGAGAAATATTTTCGAAACAAATTTAAGAGAACTTTCAAGGGCAAGCTTGCAACAAGCTTAGCAGGCAATATTGCTGCAAGCCTCCTATGGGTGGGACATTTAAAGCTTGCAGCAATCTTGCTGTACAAGCTTTGAAAGTTTGCCATACAAGAATACGTGCTATCTATGCAATGTCAAATAAATTTCAAACTGTCAAAAATCAAATTGCTTACACTCTTCTTGAAATACTTTTCATTCAAGTGGATTTTGTGATTGAAAAATAGAAATGGATGGAAGTAAATTAACTTTTGATATTAACTGTCTGTCAAATCCCTGTTGAAATTTATTTTTACTTCAACATATGCTTAATAAATATTTATTATTGTAATTGTTTGTCGTTTATTTAGCTTATATATATGCGTACTTCTTAGTTATTAGTTTCTTACTGTACAGTTTACACTGAGAAAACTGGAGTATTGGACTAAACATCTGGAGGGACAAATCGTTCATATTTGAGAGTTAGCTATAGGATAACAATCTAAATGTTCAAATTCACCATTGACAGATATTCGTGCCATTTCTCTAACAGAGGGACAAATTAACCATTTTGAGAAATCCCTTCCTTATCCGGCGCGAAATGAATAAATATCGCAACCTAACCCCTAAATTAAATACATAAAATGTCAGAAAAATAATTTTGCGCGCATCAGATCGTACACATTTTCTGCGCAACTTTTAACCCTCAGATATAATGGGAGAGAATATACAAGTAGATTTCCATTATCAATTCAAAATTTATTTTAGAAGGACTATTTAACTCTCTTCATAAGCAAAGGAAACATACACTTTTTAAACCTCTGAATTTGACTCTCCAGTTTTCTCAGTGTATTTATTGTAATAGTATTTATTCATTAGAATTAATTATTTATTATAGTTTTTAAATTAGTTTTAAGTTATCTTTTTTTCACTCGTCCTTACTTTTATATATATATATATATATATATATATATATATATATATATATATATATATATTTATATATGGAAAACTGTGGGTAAAATGCGACTTTTTTAACAGTTCGTGAAATCCAGAGCGTAATAGTACATTGCACCAAAAGCTGAAAGAAACTTAATTTAATAAACAGTATGCAAATTATTTCAAACTACTAGGCGTATTCTGCGATATGTACCACTATTTTTTACACGATGTCCTTGAAGTAATGACATAAATTTTAGATACTGTTACAAATATTGATGCAAACTTAGGTGATGTGAAGATTAGTGTTGCAAAAAATATTAATCTATTATTTTTATGAGGAAATACTAATTTTCTATTAATATTAATTCCTATTAATAAATTTATTTTTACACATAAAAGCCTTAGTAAGCTTGTATAGAAATAACCTCTTAACTTATAAATTTATTTGTAAAGAATAAAATTGTTCTTTTAATTCTCTCTCTTACTTAAAAATATTGTAAATTTATTTATTGATTAACTTTTATTAAACTTTTGCCCATTAGTTTCTTTCGCTCAATGCGAATTATAATTCACGGTGCGCCTTAACTAAAATTAAATAAAAAGGTCTTACACCTAGAAAATTAGTAGAGTTTCTGAATTTACAATGTTCACAGATGAAAAAAATCAAAAAACTAAAATAATCTGTGGAGAGATTTTGAAATAAATCCACTTTGAACATTTTTGCGCACGAAGTACGATATTTTGGAAAATATGGCATTGTTTATTTATATGAATAGAAAGGAAAAAATTATATAATAATAATTTTTAAGTGGTAATTCTATTAAACTTTTATTATTTTAACATTTTTTTTATTTTTTTAACTAATAAAATATAAAATTGTAACATAATTTAATTATAATTACATCAATTTAAACATGTGAAGCATTATATCTACAAACAGCGCTCAAAAAGTGTTTAGGAAAATCCAGGTGATTCGCAGCAACCTTATTCATTTTCCAGGAAGACTTTAGGAAATCAAAATGTACGGACTCCATATGAAGATTTTTTATATGGGAGAGACATAACTAAATTGTTCTATTTTTTAAATAATGTTTATTTTTTATGGCAAAATTAAACATTTTCAAATAATTAATTTCTATAAACCCTCGTTTGGTTGTATTTCAACTTATTTGTTTTCATTTATTTAAATATTTATTTATATCAAATATGCAATTATTTTTCATAATTAATTATTTTAATTTACTCTCTAAATCTGAATTAGTACCTAGTTTTCTACTAATGAAGTAGTGCGAATTCGTTGACCAATTGAATTACTAGGTACTTCGTGCGCAAAAATGTTCACAGTGGATTTATTTGAAAATCTATTCACAGATTATTTTAGTTTTTTAATTTTTCTCATCTATGAACATTGTAAATTCAGAAACTCTACTAATTTTTTAGGTGTAAGACCTTTTTATTTAATTTTAGTTAAGGCGCACCGTGAATTTTTTCCGTTTTTATCGCAAATTATCTAATTTTCCCATTTAATTTTTAATACTGCTTAAATTCTCGATAATCATTTAAAATTTATTGGAAAATTCTTAAAATAACGTTTAGAAATTCATAAAAGTTTAAAAACTGTCTGAAAATTTCGTTTCATAATAAATATTATCTAGTATCCTGGGTTGAAGCAGGATACAGGAATTTAATATTTTAATGTTATTTTAAAGAAAAAATGTTACAAAGACAAGTAAGTATGTGTAATTTAAATTCATCTCTTTTTGGCTTTTAAGAAGTTTTAATATTTCTTTTTTTACCATTTTTTTCTACAAAATAAAACTAATGTTGTCATTAACACAATTTCCACTTTTTAATAATATTATCACTAGTAAAATACTTTGTAATTAACACATTAATAAAATTAGATCAATTTAAAGGTAATTCAAAACTTTCTATTCGTTCTGGACAATTTCATTTTATGGAAACATGTTGCAGTCACGTTTTATATCATTACTCTTACTAATTACATTTCCAAATTTAGTTTTTTCCCTACCAGTTTAACCTGAAAATAAACAACTGTGTGCGACACAAAGAAGCTTCTTAATTAGAAAATAATCTTTGTTAAGGGGACATTCCAGTTCAAAATGTCAAAAAAATCGATTTTTTTTGTTTTTATTTTCGGATTTCTTATAGTGTCAAGAATACTCTCCTAAAATATTATTGCAAAATTCAAAGTAAAACAAAAGTTATACATCCTTATTCTTCGCCATGTCAAATATGTTTTTGTATGCGGATAAGCAATTGAATGATTTAAATGTTTTCTCATTTGCATTTTTTTAAATAGACAAACAAAAATGTATTTGGTGTTGCTGACCACAAATTAGATATCAAATTTCCAAATTAAAAATGGCGGATCCAATATGGCGGAAAAGAAAATTTTTTTATTTTAATTTTTTTTTTCGTTTAATTTTTTTTTCGTCCACCATATTGCATCCGCCATTTTTATTTTTGAAAAAATAATGTCATATTCGTAATCAGCGACCCCAAAAACCCCCCCTGAAACGATTTTCAAGCAAATCCAATGATTTTGAAAAAAAAATGTCCGCCATATTGGATCCGCCATTTTGAATTTTAAAAATCTGATTCCATATTCGTAATTAGCGACCTCAAAAACCCCTAAGTAACGATTTTCAAGCAAATCCGATGATTTTTTTAAAAAAATTTCGAAACTTATGAACAAAAACTTTAAATGCATTTTTCTCAAAATGTCTTTTTTTGATCTGGTAAGAGTGATATCTCGAGTTCTTCTGAAGCGATTTTAAAAAATCAAGCGGCTTTTGATTCAGCGTCATCATGCCTATAAGTGGAACCTCAAAAACTGGAAAATTTCCAACTCCCTCTTTTTTTATAAGAGAAATTCTGAATAAAAACACCTTTTTTTTGCATATTTTGGGGAAAAAGTACTCTAAAAAAAGGGGGGGAAGAAAATTCCACTTTTTGTGGTTCCACACCTAAAGAAATATCTAAGGAAGAGAATGTCACTTCGTTTTTGGTTTTATCTGTTTTAGAAAGTTTGGAATTAATCTTACCACCGAAAATGGGCATTTTCGAAAATGGCGTATATCGCCGCCATTTTGAAATAAAAATGAAAAATTTTTTTTTACAAATTCTTAAATAAATTATTTATTACATGTAAAAGAAATTTTTTAAATAAATGTCATAGTTATTTTAATAATATATACTAAAAAAGCCTTCTTTTTGCCTGTTTTGAACTGGAATGTCCCCTTAAATGAAAAAAAATTAATTTTGAGCCTTTTCATTTTCAAAAAGAAATTTTTTTTTCTTTATTGTAAAGCGAAACAAAGAAATGCAAAGAGACGAATTTTTTAGTGATACCGCAAGACTCAAGATTTTCGAGACGAGACAATCATCGTCAAGACCAAGACCAAGATGAACTTTTTTCTCGTCTTGTCTATTCAAGACGAGACGAGACAGTAAGTGTCAAGACCAAGACAAGATTCAAGACTCGAAAAATATCGTTAAATGCAGTGTACGTTTAGAAAAAGACGAAAAAATAGCACTTGAATAAGTTGTTATTCCATAAAATATAGTAAAATTACATGTATATTTTATGGAATTACTCTGTGAATTTTAGTTATAAAACTAAAATTGTAGTTTAATGTGAAATATAAGACCACCAAAATTTTCATAAATTTAAAATCTCTATTCATGGAAAAAATAAAATGTTTTTTATTTTTTTTCGCAATTTTTCAATCTACCATGTAAGTCTTTAATTAGGTAGGGGAGAGTCTCCAGTTGTGAGACACCTCCAGTTGTGAGACAGTCAATTTTTTTTAACATGCAATATTAAAAATCCGATTGGTTTATATAAAAACATTTCTTTTTACATGAGCCAACTTTTTCATGTACGCCGAAGCGGATATATAAACTGTTTTTATTAAATACCAACACTGTGTGTGATAATCGACTAAAAAGCGTTTTTCAATAAATGCAAAGTACTTTTTTTCCAAGTTAATTAATTGGAAAAGGTAAATGTAATGCATTTTCTTTTAGTCTTTTCCTTATATTTTGTGATGCAATATTGCATTGTTCCAATCTACGGTTGAAAATAATTTAATTTTCCTTTTTCAAAATAGCGCCAATTTCTGGGTGTGAGACACAGCATATCACCAGTTGTGAGACGGTGTCAACACCCATCTGGGCAGCATAAAAAATACAAATTTGCAGGCATACTATTTAAATGTTGTTTTGATTTCTTTTTCTAGTATTTTTGGGCATGTCAAGTGGAAAAAAGTCAATTGATTCAGAAGAAATCAATTTTAATGCTCTTGTTGAAGCTATTAAATTGTGTTTATTTGATATTCATATTTTGGCGAATAAATATTATTATTTAGTATATAATAATATATATTATTAATATATTTAATTATTTCTACTAAACATAACGTTTTATGTCAAACTTATTAAATTTTAGCAATTTTTAATGAGTGTCTCACAACTGGAGACATTTTTTTTTTTTGAAAAAAGCGATGTGCTCGGAAAATGTATCGTAAAATTTTTTGAGTTCATCGAAACACTATACTTTCTTTTAATAAAAGTTGCGTATTTCTGTTACCTTTCGAACGGTGTATTTTATTTACAATTTCGTTTACCTGTTTACAATTTACGGGTCAAAAATGAAACCCGTCTCACAACTGGAGACTCTCCCCTATTTAAAGAAAGAAAAAGTTTTTAAATTGTTGATCATATAGCAAAATCTTAAGATAAAATTATGTCATCAACAACTGGTACTCCTAAAGTAACTTTTTGCGTCTTTCGAGAATATTTTCAGGGAATAAAATTTAAAACCTTTTGAAATTCTATAATTTCTACAAATTGCATGTAAACTCAACTATTCTAAGATCCAATTATTTTTTAATTTTTAAGTAAAATGATTCTCTGAATATTTTATAAATAACAATTTTATGAAACTTCTTCAAGATTTAAATTATTTAAAATAAAATTAATTTCAACTTCTGTAAAGATCAATTTTATTGTCAGAAATGGAAAAAATTTAAAGTTTAGCATTAATATTTGTGGTTGGTTTTAAAGTTTATAAGCAGAACATGGAAAATTCAAAAAGAATTCAATGTTTTTAATATCTTCAAAGATTGCTGGGTATCAAAAATCAGATCTTTTTCCTTCAATTCTACAAATGTAATACTTATTCCAGTATTTTTGATAATATTCTCTCATTTCCTTGAATAATTTTACAGTTATCCTAATTTATTACTAAATTTCCTGTTTTCCGGACATGTAACAGACTTATTAATTGAAAAAATATCGAGACTTCAAGACGAGACGAGATTCTACGTCTCAAGACGAGACTTTTTCGAGAATAGACTCTTTGTTGGTCTTGACATTTCAAGACGAGACAAGATTGAAAAAAATCTCGTCTTGTCTCGTCTTGCGGCAACACTAGAATTTTTCTATCTGATGAATGAAATATTTCTCTCTGTGTGTGAATTTAATAAAAATAACAAACTAACAAAATGATTTATTTCTTTTCTCGATTAAAAATTATTTTGTTGTAATGGAAATCTTGCCACTCTTTTCATTCTAGATTGAGAATTTGGAAGATTTGCTAAAAGAAAAGGACAATCAGGTGGACATGGCACGAGCACGTTTAACGGCAATGCAAGCGCATCATTGTAGCAGTGAAGGCGCTCTAAGTAGTCTTGAAGAAGCAATTGGCGACAAAGAAAAGCAAATGGCTCAATTGCGAGAACAGCGAGATCGCGCCGAACAGGAAAAACAAGAGGAACGTGAACTCCATGAACGTGAAATTGCCGAGTACAAAATGAAAATCCACGCTCTTGAATCAGAGGCTCGTATATCATAATTTTAGAAACTAATTCAATTTATAATGTTATATGTAAAACGCATGCTAAATTTTGGTTAACTTTGACATTTCAAAGTTAACCAAAATTTCTCAGAAAATTTCTATCTAAAGTTCTTTAAAAATAGGTATTTTATCTACTTCTCTTTTAATGCATCTTTTCCTACTTCTTCTCCTTTACTCATCAAAAATAGTGTTCAAAAATTTTTCTCATCAAAATGTGTTCTGTAAATGTTACGTAACATTGTGGCAACAGTGTTACGTAACAAATATAAATATCTTTCATTTAACTTGCAAATAACACCATTTATACCGACAGATTAGCTCAGTCGGATAGATGCCTCGCATTGGCGGTCGTTTAAGGACCAAGGGTATAAGTACCCTTGGTTCGCGCCCACTTGGCTTGGTATTTTTCCGGCACGTGAGACAATCTGAGCGGGAGGTTTGACGTCGAGGTATAATGATGTGCACCGTCGATTATTGTCCGGTACACACCATTAGAACTCGACTGTCGATAAACCGGTTGTACTCAGGAGAGGTTTTCTACAGTTTCCCTCTTCTCTGGCGAGTCGAGAAAACCCATTGTCGGGTGGTCCAGGCGGAATGCGAGTACTCCTAATAAAAGTCGGCTGTAGACGCAAATTAGGTTAATATATAGAAAATTTCTAAGTAGAATGGTTATGCTTATTCCAAAAAGTATTTCTCGGGGACTCTTGTCGAAGTGCGTAAGGCCAATAGGGCAGAAGTATAAACAATAAAAAAAAAAAAAAATAAAAAAAAAAAAATAACACCATTTATTTAACTGTTAGTGACATTTTGGTAACAATTTACACAAATTTGTGCATATATGGGACATTCTTCGTGAAGTTTTGAATTAAAATTTTTTTGATTAAAACGATTTTTTTCGAATTCTTTATTAAAAATAAGTAAGTACCTGATTTTTTATTTTATTATTCGATAAAAATTACGGAAGTTATAATTTTTTTAAATTTAATGTCTTGAAGCAGAGGACTTTTGAAACACTTTTTTCTATGTTATAGGTACCAAAAGATAAAAAATAATATCAATTTATGAAAATTATTTATTTTTTCTTGAATATTTCAAATATGAGACCTCTTGTTTACACTAATGAGATAGAGTAGGTATTGTATTGTGAAAATATCTGCTTTCTTCCAGGCGGTTGTCGCCTCTTGAGCAAATTTCGACAGTTCGAAATTTCGAATGTGTTGTTTCAATATTAGACCTTAGTAGATAGTTGAGTTTATTTCCAAATTACTATTCTATGGACGTTCTTAAAATTTATACTTTGCAAATTGGTGTATTATAAGAGGTTTATTTAAAGTTCACTTCAAATTTAATACTTGGGGAAATAGTTCAAAGTGTTTTTGACACATGTAGTTTTGACAAATTTTTTTTTCCAAAACTGCGAAAAACTCACTCTTTTGGAAGGTTTCAATCCCATTTTTCCAAAAACCTGACGTGATCCAATATTTTACGCGATTTTTAAAAAATTTTTAATTATTCAATCAATTCAAATTAAAAAACTTTTTTATGATAACAACGCAAAGTTTACGCAATTTAGTTTACAAAACTATTTTCTGCATTTACAAAAAATATTTTTTTTCCTCTTTTTACTGAAGTAGAATCCAAGATAGAAAAAGTGAGAAAAAATGTTTTCTTTTCCCTTCTTTTTGTGGTAATATCTGTATCAAGACAATTAAATATTTATTAAAATCCAGTAGCTCGAGTTTGAATATCTTACACAGAGACCTCTTTCTCTACTAAAAATACATCCCGTGTCAAGTTATATTAGTAAAAGTTCTTCAATTTTTTATTATTGACCTATTTTTTTAAAAAGATTTTAAAAAATCTTTTAAGTACAGAGACGTGAGGCTGAAGGAATCTTAAATTAGATTTGAATCCGACTGTTTTTTTATAAATAATATAAAGTTTCATCTGTTCTACAAGATTACAAAAGTCAAGTTACTTTTTAATGACAATTGCAGTTTTGATAGAGTATACGAAAATAATTGTAAGCATTATTAAATTAAACTGTAAGCATTAAATCGATTTAAAAAATTAAATCAGTTTAAGAGAAAATGTTTGATTAAAATAAAAAATTGCAGTAAAATAATTAACAATTAATTACAAAAAGAAAAAGGGACATTTCAACAATTTTATTACCTTTAAAATGTAGGTACTGAATTAACTTGTAGCAATTAATAATTAATTAATTCACATCACTTAATAATAAATTAATTACTAGAGTACTACCGACAGAAGTGGGCCACACTTTGGTTTTCATGATTTAGAATATTCAGAAATTAACATTTAACCAGTGAATCCGCAGCTAATCCGAAACAGTCTGCTTATGGTCAGGTTTTCGTCACTCAGAATTAGTTCGGATAAATCCAAACTCAATAGGTTTGTGTATAACCAGTGAATCCGGAATTAGCACGATCTAGTCTGAAGTTAGTCTGGCAATACGCAACTTGCAAATAGTCCGATTAAGTCCGGAATTAATCTGGTTATGGTCAGGTATTTGTCATACGAAATTATAATTATAGTTTGAATTTATCTGACCAAAATCATTCTGGATTAAGTCTTTAAATTGGATTGAATATGGATTGTTTTGGATTGTCTGTGGATTGTATATATAATTATATATTTACAAATTCCATATTATTATAAGACTTCTTTTCGGACTGGGGTGTTTTGATCGGATATTATTCGGATTGCCGCTGACTATTACCGGATTCTTTGCATACATATTTTGGATTGTTTAGTATTTGTTTCGGATTATGCCTTTTAATTGGATTAAATACGGATTATTTCAGACAATTTTCGGATACTTAGCATATAGATTTCGGATTGTTTCGGATTATGTCTTTCAATTGGATTAAATCTCAATCGTTGCAGACAATTTCCGAATTCGTTGCATACAGTTTTAGGATTGTTTCGTAATAGGATTTTGCAACACTTAATTTCAAATTGTTGCGGACTAATATCGGATTTCTTGCTTACAGAGTTCGGATTGCTTCGGACATTTTACGGATTAAGTTTTTTAAACTAGATTAAATTCGGATTGTTGCGGTCTTATTCCGTATTCTTTACATATTGATTTCTGATAATTCCGTACTTATTTTAGAAGAATTCTTCACCGGTCATAAATTCGGATTGTTGCGGACTAATTACGGACTGAATTCGTAGACATTTAGGATTACATCAGAGTGTTTTCGGATTCAGGTTTTCGATCGGATTAATTTCAGACTAAGGGGCCGTCCATAAATTACAGAAGTCACTTTTTTGGAAAATTTGACCACCCACTCCCCTTTGTAAGATTTTTTACATACATTAGCGCCATTTTTTCTACGGTTCGTAAGATTTAGCTGACCAACCCCTCCCCCCAAAATGTGATACGTAATTTATGGACGACTCCTAATGCGGATCATTTTCGGACCTTTTTCGAACAATTTTCGGACTAATCCGTAATAATCTGTCCGTATTTAATCCGGAATTAGTCTGTAATTTTTACCAGGGTTTTAAACACTTATTGCGTTTTTTTGTAGAGAAAGAGGTTCCTAACTTTTGGCAAACACACATTTAAAAATTTTTAATTTTAACATATTGTTTAACATCGTTATGCAAAAAAAGAGAAATTTGTAATATCACGACTTTGTAAACAGAAGTGGGCCACCCAAGTTTTTCATCTACAATAAGTAAAAGGATCAAGCACTATGATTGTTTATGTTAAATAATTAATTTTTTCGATAAATAGTATTGTAAAACCAAGCACAAGCAGTGCGTTTCGAAATTTTATAAATTTTCATTTGTTTTATAGCATCAAGTAATTTGTCGTAGTTAATGGGTTCATAGCCCGTCGGTTTACCCTTTCTTGGTGGCATGATTGTTAAAACATTAAAATTAATGCATATAACCACTTTATTAGTTTATACAAAATCACTAAATGTCGAAACGGAACGTCAATGCTGTAACCCACTTCTGTCTACAATCATAATTTGACAAGAAATAACCCCTACTGAAAAAGCCGACGTCTGATCCGACGTCAGAAATGATTAAGATATTATGTCATATAATATGTCAGATCTGACGTCAGAAATCTAGTAGGAAACGACGACAGAAAACATGTCGGAAATGTAGTACAAAAATGAGATAAGATCCGTCGTCAGAAATGACGTCGGAAATAACGTAATATTGTATTAGGATATTATTAGCAAAAATTTGTGTTAAAACAATTTAAATTATAATTTTTTTTGCCATTTGAATAACTTGCAAAAAACATAAAATATTATAGACAGCGTAATGAAATTGAAATTTTGCAAAAAATAAAAATTTCATAAAAAGAATTTGTTTATGTAAAAAATGAAAACTTTTTTGTCAAGTAAATTAATTTATTACCAAAATTAATTATAAAATTTTTTTGCTGTACATGGTTTTACAATAATTCGTGTTTTTATTTAAAATTACTGTTTTAATGACAAAATAATAGTTTTCAATACATATAATTTAACACAATTTTCTTTACAATCTAAGAACATATAAACAATAATAAGAATTAGTTGATATCTTGAAAATTATAAAACAATATTATAAACATAGAAAATGAGATCAAAATTAAAGTTTTGTTTAAAACTTTTGTAATGTTGAAAGGACAGTTTTTCTTTCGAAGTGTAAAATGAGTTCATTTTTATTTTTTTAAGATGGTAAGATTGATAATTACGCTCTCTATATTGAGTCTAAATATTGTTTTATAAATTTTTACATTCAGTTTAATGCATTCTAAGAGAAAATAAATCAAAAGCCTCATTTAATATACTTTTAAATTAGGTAGCGCACATATATATGAATTGGTGCTTGTTTCTACAAAAACACATACAGCTTTTAATGTATTTGTCATTATCGGAAATTCCTCACTCATTTTTTCAATTTTTTTTAACAAGTTACATGTCTCGCCCAAAGCATTTGTTACAA